AAAAAAAAAAAGAAAAGGAAAAGAGAAACAGAAAATTCGCCTGACAGAGAAATATGAAATTCAACTCACATCTTCCCGTAGCTTTTTCACTTTAGCGAGATACTGATAGGCATGCGCCATCGCGATTCTCGTGTAGTGATTGCTCGGAAGTTCACCGTTGATCTTGATCCTCTTCAGGATATTCTCAATCTCTTTACGGCATAGATTCACCCGATAGCGATCGAGCTTCGTAGTGCCACCCTCGTCGTCGTATCGTCCTGTGTCTAACGTATGCAAATAATGCATGCAGTGGCTTCTCATGGCACGGATCGTCTCGTTGTAGAATTTGTAAGTGTCCGGATGCTCGAGCGCCACCATGCTCTCCAGTTGATCCAACTTTTCCTCCTGTCGCGGCGAATTAAAATTATTCCGAGATCACCGTTCCAGTTTGGGAACAAAACTTTCCCTCCGCTCGTTGTCCCGTGAGAACTCGACTCGAGGTTGTATAAAATATTTCTTTCGAATCGATGGAACTTCCCGGCTGGCCATTACGACACTCTCATATTAATCGCGATTTGCAATTTTAACACGTGCATTGGCTTTATCGAGAGATTAATGCGAACAAAGTTTCGAAAGTTTTTAGACGAAAGTTTCGCTGGCAGAGGGAGAAAAAAGGAAACAGAATTTCGAAGGAGGTAACCTCGATCGAAAAAGGAAAAAAAAAAAAAGGGAAAATAAGTCCAACCTAATTGAGCTTAGTTTAATTCATGAAGTCAACTCTAATTTTTCTGTGACCTCGAGGAACTTATTACTTTCTGGAGACATAAATCAACGCAAGAATATTCAAAAAAAAAAAAAAAGAAATCCAAATTCCGTGACATGTTTGCAAAAACGTGGTGAAAAGAGAAAATATAATAGATACCCAATTAGAATTAAACATTCGAAAGGAAACTATTCGAAGGAATATCGGGGGATACGAGACGACTCGAAACTCACTAGGAAATTAGCGATGAACGCTAAGCTGTTACTGTTGTACATTCGCCAGTCGAGATTCGGCCACCAAGACTTAACGTAGAGGCAGGGTTTTCGCGAGCCAAGGGGCACGTAATTATATTTGCCATCCAGCGTTCCAGTCAATCGTGGCGCAGTCTCGCTCTCGAACTCCGGTCTACGATCTGGCATCTGGTTTCCTGTTGAAAATTAATCACATTTTGCCAACGACGGCCGCACATGGCGCAAACTTGTCAAGCGTATTAACGAGTAATTGGAGAATGGAAGCGTAGCTTGGTTTTGGGAGTTCGAGTGCCGGCACCCAGATTCCTCAATTTTCGATCATTCGAAAGGAGTTGTTAGCGAAAGTATACACGAGAATCCAATACCGTCGTTATTGTCCTCGAAGCATTGGCTGCGACCAAATTGTCTGTTACCGGCGTTTCCGAGGCTAACCTCGAAGCTTATTGATTTCGTCCAAAATTTTCGCCGATCGATCATGCTTATATCGTACAACACAGCGACCAGGTAATATTCTTCCGTCTTCCACAAGCTTCTCTGTGAAAAGCGAAACGATCCGAGTTAGCGGCCGTGAACTCGAGCATCAAATATGGAATTTTTAAAGTGTTTTGACATAAGTTTTTCAATCTTCTAGCGTTTAACAACTTTAAGGAATTTAAGAACATTTTAACACCGTTAAACCGTTCTCGTTTCTTCTTTTTTTTTCTCAAAAGTCGTCAAACATTGTCCGACAAGGGAATGATCATAAAGATCTAGTACTGTGATGACTCGACGTTAAATTCGCTATAACCATTAGCTTCATGCCGATACAGAATCACGCGAACGGATCGTCAAATCGATGAAGCGACGTTACGTCAACTTATTTTATACGTTATTTACACGCTCA